AGAGACAGAGACAGAGACAGAGACAGAGACAGAGAGAGACAGAGAGAGAGAGTGTGTGCGTCTTTAGGTCTAAATTCAATTCCTGTAGTAAATATACTCATTGTTTATACTTGACATTTTATCGCTAGATACTGGGCTCTTGTATTTACTGGAGTTGTTGACAATATGAGCAGAGCCAAGACAGAGCTCCAGATCTCTCCACTGTCTCAAGATCAGCGAGAGAATAGACAGACACACTGACAGAGATATAAATACAGACACAGAGATAGGAAGAGACAGGAAGAGACAGAAGCCAGACAGGGAGACAGACAGAGAGAATCCTTTCACTCCTTAGCTCTAAAGGAAACTCAGAAGGATGGAAACTGACCATGAGGCACAGGAGAGAGGGGAGAAGAGACACACAGATCAGCAGGCAAGGGCCCACCTTCCTGCCTGCCCCTTCCATAAAGACCTCTGTAATCATCAGCCCTCCCAGAGGCACAGGCAGCCAGGCACTTACTTATAATTCTGACGGTCCTTGTCAGGTTTACTCCCAAAGAGTCCTGCTCCTGTGACACTGCTCACTTCAACTGAATACATGGAGAGAAAGGTCCCAATCATGAGATCCCCATTTCTGACAAGGCTGGGGCTGATTTGGGGGAAACAGAGTGGCTTCTCTGTCCTGTTCTCAGAGGCTGGAAGCTTCAGCAGCAGTGACAGGAGCAGGACAGAACACAACAGAGAAATCTTTCTCTGAACAGGAGGACACATATGTCTGAACATTAAGTATAGTGCCAAGTCAGGAAGGAGCCAAGGAGCTGCCCAAGCTAGAGCAAAGTCGAGCATTCTAGGCTTGGTCTGCCGAGAAAACTCCTGGAGATGTAATGTCTTGTTCTGGGGCAGATGGCCAGGTCAAGCCCTCCCTCCACACCTGAGGAAACACAAAGGGACATTAGCTGTGCCCATTTCCAGGACAAGGACAGGGATGTAAGACCGAGGGGGTGATTATAAGGCTTCCTCGGCCCCTCAACTATATTCTGTCTCTCAGTAATCTTGTGGTTAATTGCTGACAATGGTCTCCACAGAGACGTGCAGGTCCATGAGGAGTGCTGGGGACCATTCCTGCCTTGGGCATCTCCAGTTGTGTCCCTGCATCCATGGCAGTAACACAAGTGGAAAAACATGTTTTGGAATCTCTGTCCCTGTTACCCACAGAGATGACTGGAAAAGAATCCTCATGGAGGGACCTGTGTGTCGCCGTGTGACCCAGGAGGCTGCAGACTCCTAGAGCCGGTGGGTGTTGCTTCAGGTAGAATCTGATGTGAACAGACAAGATAAAAAAAAAAAACTTTCAGAGAGGGCAGCTGGGCTGCGAGTCTACAGGGCCCATGGCCTGGATCCATCTTGTGCTTTGATGAACTCACAAGTCCAGGCTCTCCCCATTCTCAGGATCACACAATCACAGAGTTTGCTGATGGTTTTAGGTGGATGCTTCTTATCATTCTAAGATATCACCTCCCAGTAAAGCAAAGCTCAGATGTCCCCACTTCTCCCAGGAGAAGTCCATGACCACGTCCTTAAAGGTCACCGATTCCTGAAACAACTAAACACATTTGTGCTCAACCAGGGACAATCCCTCAGATGGGCCTGAGAGGAGAGGGAAACCTGGCATATGGGATAGGGGCTAGTCCTTAGTGTCCTGACTTCAGAGAGATCTAAGCCAGATATTTTTCAAGTACCAGCTAGGCCTCAGGGTGTAACAGATTCTGGATCATGTGATAGAACAGTGAGAGGTGAGCTGTTGCCCTCACTTGCCAGGGCCCAGGCCCACTTCTTAGCACACATAGTACCATGCCATTGGACGTGTACCTCACCCCACCCTAGTTCCTGTTGTCTTCTCCCATTAGGCCGGAAGTTCCTTGAGGGAAAGAACTATTGTGCTTTCTTGTATTTTCATCCCAGTGTTTAGCGCTCTCTCTAAGCAGAATGGAACAGTGCATTTTATCACAGAGGACTGGAATTTAAAAGATGATCACCCCACCCACTGCCAGGGCTTCAGTTTTCTCAGCTGAGAAGTGAGGGATTTGGACTGCACCACCGTCTCTTGTCTCTTGCAATTCTAATTCGATGGTCCTAGAAGCCTCATGCGGACAAAGGTACCTCAGAGATGCCCTAGTCCAGATCAGACCAGGCTGAGAATACCTGGAGGACATTTGGGATAAGTGGTCATCTAGAGTCAACTTCAAGACTGCTAGTAATAGGAATCGAGTTGGCCTGGGTGACACAGTCCCTCCACCCCCATGGCCGTGACCCAGCCTCTGACCCACGGAGGGTCTCGCTTCCTTCCCCCTAATCAATGAGTGTTGACAGTGTCTATCAGTTATTATTCAGCCTGCAGAGTCTAGATTACTAGTCTCTTTGTGGCCAGAAAATAGAACACTTTGGCCCCCTGTTCCCGCATGAAAGGCCTTTCAGAGAAATATTCAACATTTTTTTTTATTAATAAGCCTTCTCTGTGTAAGGCAGCAAAGCAACCTGCCATCATGGATAGATGGCCAGCGTGGGAGGCAGAAGACCTGGCTTCTGGTCACACTCTGGCCGTGCGACCCTGAGAGAATCCCTTAAACTTGAAGTGCCCTTGGTAGCTCTCTCTGATTCCAAGTTGCAGCTGAATTGCTGATCTTCATTGATGGAGAGTGCTTCCCCACCAGAAGTTCTCTGCACCTATGAAATCACAGGTGTAGGCGATGCCACCACCAAAACCTTCCCAAAAACGTGCAAGTCGCTGTGAGACAAAACAAAACGTTTCTTGCCCTCAGGCAGCTTACATTCTATAGGAAGTCTTTCCTTTATAATGCACTCCAGCTGGAGAAGCATTTCTTCATTGGTGAAGAGGAAGCTGTGCTCAGTGTCTCAGGCCAGCAATGAAGACCTGAAGCTGTCTAGTTCAGCAGGGCCTTCCAGAGTCTTCTCATAGTTCAGGTCATACCATTGCACCATTGCCCTCTCTCTTTGCCCAAGTCCCTCCATTCTCTGAGGAGGGGATCAATCGGAGGTTCACTTCTTGGAGGACCTGGCAGTCTTCTAGTCCAATCTCCCTGTTTTACTGATGAGGAAACTGAGGCCCAGAGAACCAAGCCCCTTGCCCAAGGATATACAGGGAGTAAGTAGCAGCAGGGTTAGCTCCATGGCATGGCGCCATATTGCTTCTTGATCTTTTACAGGAGCTGTGCTGCTGCTGGCTCTTGAACGAGCTCATTAATTTGAATCACATAAGAACCACAATGGTTCTGTTCATTTCTGAATCCCCTTCTTATATCTCCCTTGGGTGTGCCTTCTTTCAGGATCATGTTGCTGTTGCTTTTTATGGTCATGCATGTGTGCCCCTGTGTATGTGTCCAATGTGTATGTCTAGTGTGTGTTTGTGTGTCCAGTGTGTGTGTCTAGTGTGTGTTTGTGTGTCCAGTGTGTATGTCCATGCATTTGTCCAGTGTGTCTGTGAGTCTAGTGTGTTTATGTGTGTCCAGTGTGAGTGTCTAGTGTGTGTTTGTGTGTCCAGTGTGTATGTCCATGCATGTGTCCAGTGTGTTTGTGTGTCCAGTGTGTATGTCCATGCATGTGTCCAGTGTGTTTGTGTGTCCAGTGTGTATGTCCATGTGTGTATCCTGTGTGTGTGTGTTCTGATTCTTCTTTCTTCAGTGTGCATCATTGCATTTAATTCTTTTTTTAATTCATTAATTAGGGTCTTTAAACAATTTTTCAACAGCAAATCCTCTAATGTAACTATGTGTTGTTTTCCAGAAAAATTGGACCTATTTGCAGCTCCACTAAGAGTACATTATCGTGCCTGTCTTCCCATAGCTCCTCCAGCATTAACTTTCTGTCTTTGCCAATTTGTAGGGCATCAGGTTATCCTATGCTTTTTGCATTTAGTTTCTCATTGCTACTTATTTGGAGTATTTTTTCATATTATTTTGAAGTAATTATTAAGGTTGGGGCAACCAGGTGGCGCAGTAGATAGAGAACTGGCCCTGGATTCAGGAGGACCAGAGTTCAAATCCGGCCTCGGACACATAACACTAGCTGTGTGACCCTAGTCAAGTCACTTAACCTTATTGCCTAAACACCCCCCTCCAAAAAAAAGAAATAATTCTTAAGGAACTGATTAAGTAACATCTCCAAGAGGAATTGGTTACCACAAAAAAATTAGCATCATTTCATCAAGATCAAGGAATGGCAGTCTACCTTTCTTTGGAAAGAGTTACGAAACTGGAATGTGAGGGAAAGGTTATAGATACAGTTTACTTAGATTTCAGCAAAGTTCTTCATAAAGTACCTTATTATCCTTGTGGAAAAATGGAGAGATACGGGGTATAGACTATAGCATAATTTGGTGAACTCGGGACTGGCTGAGGGGCCAAATGCAACCAAGTGTTTATTGAGCCTGTCCCTGCCCTCAAGGAGCTTACATTCCACTGGGGGAAAGAAAATACATAAGTGTATGCAGAATAGATGCAAAATGAATGCAATACAGTTTTGAGAAGGAAGAAAGCAGAATGCCAGCATCCAGGCAAGTAGGAAAGGCTTCATATAGAAATGGATGCTTGAGCTGGGTCTTGAAGGAAGCCAAGAATTACAGGAAACAGGAGACAGGAGGAGAGGAAGGCATGAATCTGGAGCTGGAAGGGGTCTCAGAGGCAGCCAGACTAATCTTATTTTACAGATGACGGAACTGAGGCTCACAGAGGTTAAGCGGCTGACTCAGAGTCACAAAGGGAATAAGCATTAGAGGCAAGACATGAACCGTGCCCTCCAGCTGCAGAGCCAGTGATCTTTCAGTTCTACCAGGGGGTACATTCCAGCATGAAAAAAGAGCCAGTGTGAAGGCAAGGAAACATCGTACGGGAGGCCCAGCAAGTCAGCCACTGTGGCAGAGTGCATGGTGGGGAATCATGTGTAAGAAGGCTAAAAAGATAGGAAGGAGACAATTGGTGAAGAGCTCCCAAAACCAGTCACTTATGTTACAGAGACTGAAACAAGATCTGACATCTGGGATGAGTAAGAGTGAGTCATCAAGTGTAACCCAGATGAGGACCCTAGGTGGCTGGAAGAAGGCTGCTGCTCTTGGCATTGATAGGGCAGATTGGAGAGCAGAGAGAGGCCTGCCTCTGAGAACACTAATGGGCTCTGTTTGGAACATGCTGAGTTTGAAGTGCCTTAACCTGTAAGACATCCAGTCTGAAATAGCCAATGGTAACACTAGAGCTCAGGAGAGAGGCTAGGGCTACATATACAGATCTGGGAATCATCTGCATAAAGATGACCATTGAATTCAGGCTGCTGATGAGGTCACCAAGTGAGAGAGTAGAAAGAGAAAAGGGAAGAGGACAGAAACCTTACGAATGCCATGAATGTGGAAAGGCCTTTGTCCAGAGGACACACCTAACTTGTCACCAGAAAACTCATACTGGTGGGAAACCCTATGAATGTCATGAATGTGGGAACACCTTCCACCACAGAGGACAAGATACTCAACATATTCATACTAGAGAGAAACGCCACAAATGTATGTGGAAAGGGTGTGGTAAGTATACAACTTATTGACATATCTAAGTAAGATGGATGCTCCATACCTTTTTTCTTTCCAGGTGTCCTCCAATGCCAAGGTCAACATGACAGGTCCTAGGAACTCTGGGTTAAAAGTTTGCTTAGCTGCCATAGCTATCCCATCTCACATTCCTATGACAATTCCTACTAGAATGGCAAACTGGAGATATATAGAAAAGAGTGATGTACTCATAGTTCCTTTGAAGAATAAACACCTCCAGGCTAGGGCCCCCACTTAAACAACAAGGGGTAAGCCCTGGGGTTAGTGGGTTTGAGAGGCTGCCTCGGCCCCAGTCACAGGAACTATTACCCCTGGGACAGTGAGAGGAGTTGGGCATCTGACCTGGGAAAGATCTAGGGAACCTCTGCTGACAAGGAATGCCAGACCCAGCTGTGCTGTGGAGACGTGGTAGGGGACAGAAGGAATCAGCACATGCCTGGTGAGTGCAGAAGCTGGGGGTGGGGGAGATGCCACTGGCTGTGGGCATTTACAGGAAGCTGGAGGTCTTGGTTTGAGTTCAAGGTCAGAGGGAGAACTGAAGAGGAATCTGAGGCCACAGGCACCACGCCCCATACCTCAGGACTAGAGGTGATGATAAAAACTAAATTATTACCAAAAAAAAAAAAAATGCACAAGGCAAAGGAGAAAGAATTCAACCATAGAGAGCTACTATGGGAATAGAGAAGACTGGGGTCCATCTTCAGAGGAGGATACTGAAGCAAAGTAACCCTCTTCTACTCCAAAGAGTAATGTCAAATGACCATCTGCCCAAAAGGGATTCATTTAAGAACTTTAAAAAGACTTTAAAAATCAAATGAGAGAGATTGAGGAAAAACTAAAAAGAAAAATAAGAATAATCCAAGCAAAACAAGACAATTATGAAAAGAAAGTCAACCCATTAGAAAAAGAGATCCAGAATCTTAAGGAAGAAAATGACTTCCTGAAAATCGGAATTGGGCAAGGTGAAGCCAGTGAGGTTATAAGAGATCAAGAAATAAAAAAGCAAAATATGATGAATGAAAAAATAGAAGAGAATGTGAAATATCTCAAATGAAAAACAACAGATCTGAAGAATAAACCAAGAAGAAAAAACATAAGAATAATCAGACTACCTGAAAGCTATGATCAAAAAAAGAAGCTTGATACAATAGTACAAGAAATAATTAAAGAAAATTGTCCTGACATATTAGAACAAGAGGGAAAAGTAAAAATAGAAAATATCCACTGATCACGACCTGAAAAAGATCCTATGAGGAAAACTCACAGGAATATTATAGTCAAATTCCAAAACCCCCAGCTCAAGGACAAAATATTACTAGCAACAAGGAAAAAAAAGAACAATTTACATATGACAGTAACACAGTTAGAATCACACAAGACAATCATTGGTGACACTAAAAGACCACAGATTTTGGAACACTATATATCAAAGAGCAAAAGAACTGGGCTTCCAGCCAAAAATATCTTACCCAGCAAAGCTAAGGATAATTCTGAATGAAAAAAAAATGGACATTTGATCAATTGTCAGACTTTCAGGTCTTTGTTAAAAAAAAAAAATCCTGAACTCAGTAGAAGATTTAACATACAAGAGCCAAGAGAAATATAAGGTACATACCAATCACCAATGACAAGTGACTCTATAAGGATAGACTGTCTCCCTTTTATGTATGGAAAATGTAAAACCTATGTCGAAGATTGTTATTAGTGATTAGGTAGCTTATATGAAAGGTGACTTTCAGTATGATATGTATGATAAAGTATGATATGACTTCAAAAAGTAAAACCATTCAAAAATAGCTAAATGAGTAATTATCTTTTACAAATGAGATGTGAGAAGAACCAACACAGAGGAATTAGATGGGGGAGGGGGCTGTCAGTTCTGGAAACCTACTCTCATTGGGAATGAGCTCAAGAGGGAACAATACATACATACATGAAAATCTACAAAAGCATAAATGTCTTCTGGATTTCTAAAAGAAACAACTCTAAGGGGATGGGGTCGGGGAAAGGATAAAGGAGGGACCTTTAGAGGGGAGGATGAGGGAATAGGTTAAAAGGGGATAAAGAAGGGTGTTTAGATAAATGGGAAGGGGATGATAAGGGAGGGATTGTTGTGGGGGGGTTAGGTTAAGTAACAGGAGGGCAAGGTAGTGGGTAGAAGTAAAGTGGAAAAGTTAGGAGAGAGGAAAAAGGAGATACACACAAACATAAAAACAAAGATTTGGAGTAGAATCTCAGGGAAAGTATATGGTTATGTATGTATGTATGTGTATATATGTATACATGAAAGTACCTATCAATATCTATAAATATATCCACACTTAATTATAGCCTGAAAGGCAGGGGGAGGGGGGAAGAGGAAGGGGGGAAAAAAAAAGAACAAAGTGAAAAGTGTATAGTAGAGAACAAAAGGAAACGTACAAGGAAGCAATGAAAAGATGGACAGCTTTCAACATAACTTGGAATATTTAATATATAGGCTTTCTTGAAATACTAAGTTATTGTGAATCCTCTCCTGCTATGCACATGATGTTTTTTTTCTTATTTTATATTTATGTTCATAATGTTTCTTTTTCTTTTCTTAGTATGAATTTTAGTATTTGTCTAAAATTTTTTTGAAAAAAGGAAATGGATGTGATTTTATCAGTAAAAATTATATTTTAAATGATAGGTACTATCTGCTTTGCCATTGCACCCTATAGATCAAGGTGCATTGACCCTGACATCATGGTGTCATTGTAATCCTCTTTGAGCACAAAGGACAGACAGCACCATAAAGATCATGGGATTATTCCTCCTGACTCGCTGCTGAAATCTCCTGTATCCATTATCTTTCCTACTAGGGTGTAAGCTCCTGGAGAGCAAGGACTGTTTGTATTTGTATCACTAGCACAGTATTTTGAATACAGTGAGCACTTAATAAATGCTTTTTCATCCATTCCTTTCGAAAATTTAATTTTATTTTCAGTTCCAAATTCTCTTACTTTCACCTCCCACACATACCCTACCCACTGGGAAAGCAATAAAAACTCATCACAAATATATTCATTAAAGTCTTCCCTTCACTAGGAGTTAGGCAGACAAACTAGGAGGGTGACAAAACTCCAGAGTTTGGAACCTGGACCTTTCTATTAGTGAAGAGAACCAGCTCTTCAATCACACGCAAACAACTTGTGCCTTTCTAGGAATCTTTTCACTAAAGACACCTTTACCCATCAATGTTTTGGCTGGACTCAGAAGTTCTTGAGACAATTAATTAGGGTACACACACAAACCCAAGCAAAAATAACTTTACTTAAGGTTGCAGCGATAATAGGAAGTTTCCAGACAAAATATATGCTAGACATTTCCAACTACTTGTGAGCAATCAGCAAGCAATTCTTCAAGATACTCTGCAACGAAATGTGGGAGCTTTACTCTCCAAACAGGTTTTTCATACAGGTTTCATATCAAACAGCAGCATCTTCAATTTACAGTACTCCAGAACAAACCTGACAGTCATCTAGGCACTGTGTAGTGGCTAGACAACTCAAGTCAAAGCTGGTACTGTCCAGATGCTGTACAAGGGTGTTAAAACCTAGGAAGAACACTGCTGCGGACTTGGGGGAAGACTGCTTGGCTCCCTTGACCTCCTCCAGTTCAGTATGTCTTGTCCCAGCAGATGTCCTAGGATCATTCCAAGATATTCTTCGGATCAGCTCAAAAGATTAGGTCTCAAGGTCTTAGCCATTTAAAATTAACCCTTGTCATTGCTCTAGTGTGCAGAGAGCACTGCCATTAGCAGTCAAGATCTGAGATCTAATCTGGCTTCACCGACCGGATGGGTGGAGAGATCAGCTAGCCTCTCTCAGCCTTGGACAAAAGATAGGACGACGCTCCGAGGGGTGCGAACCCTGGCCGAGCGCTTTGCAAGCCATCTAAGAAGGCGCTCGCCAGGTGACATTTTGGAGGAGATTATAAGATGACAAAATCTAGAACTGGGATGGACTCACTACCAAAAGACATCTTATGTAGTAGAAACAGCCCAGGACTACAGTAAGGAGATGCCAGGGCAGGAACCTATGTCCACCACGTCCCAGCTGTGTGATCAAGGCCAAGTCACATGACTTCAGCATCAATTGTCACAGGGTTGTTGTGGAGGGATGTGAAGGCACTTTGTCAATCTTAAAAGCTATGTGTCAGGTGAACAGCTGGATAGCTATCTTGATGAAAGGCCTGATGAAAAGAGAAAAGGATTTTGTGCTCCTTGAGGACAGGAGGGAGAGAGTTTAATAACCAGAAACTATGTTTTGCATAACAGTTAAATCCAGCCTCTAAACTTCCTAGCCATGTGACCCTGGACAAGTCAACTAACCTCCGTCTACCTCAACTTCTTCAAGTGTAAAATGGGGATCATAACAGCACCTACCTCTCAGGCTGGTTGTGAAGATAAAATCAGAAAAAGCTTGTAAAACGTTTTATAAATCTTAATGCAAATCTAAATGCTAATTATTATGACTCCCACCTAAAAGTGCATCGTCATGGCAGTGAGGTAATTGGAAGGCCAACAGTTTCTAGGGCTAAGGAACAAATCAGATGGGATAGTCATCACAATGGGACATCAAGGCCTGAAAATGATTGGTAAAAGGATTAAATACCTCCCATTCAGGACAAAACTGTAAAAAACAAAAACAAAAACAAAAACCCACTGCTGTGAATGAGGAAACTGAAGTGTTACTCTTGGGTCTAATACTACCTTTCTATGTGCCCTTGGTTGTAACTTAAGTGTCCTGAGCCTCAGTTTTTTCATCTGCATAATGAAAGGTTGGAAGAGATGATCTCTAAGGTCCTTTACTATGCTAGTGTTCTATCTCTAAAGTATCAGTGGGCATAAAAAAGAAAAAGAGCCCTGGCTTCTGTCTGTGGTGGAAGCTGAGAACATTAGGTAGAGAACACAGATTTTTCTCTGGTATGAATTCGTTGGTGTTTACTAAGCTGTGTGTTCCAGCCAAAAGTCATCCCACATTCGCTACACTGATAAGGTTTCTCACCAGTATGAATCCTGTGATGAGATGTGAGAGAAGAGGTATATCTAAAAGCCTTTCCACATTCATTACATTCATAAGGTTTCTCTTGACTATGAATTCGTTGATGTTTACTAAGCTGTGCCTTCTGACAAAAGGCCTTACCACACTGATTACATTCATAAGGCTTAGCTCCAGTATGAATTCTCAGATGTCGAGTGAGCTGAGTTCTCCGGCTAAAAGTCTTCCCACATTCACAACATTCGTAAGGTTTCTCTCCTGTATGAATTCTCTGATGTTCAATAAGTTGTATGCTCTGTGGGAAAGCCTTACCACATTCGTTACATATAAATGGTTTTTCTCCAGTATGAATTCTGTGATGGTAAGTAAGGGAAGAGCTGTGTTTGAAGGCCTTCCCACATTCATTACATTCATAAGGTTTCTCTCCAGTATGAATCCTATGATGGGAATTAAGGGATGAGCTATGTCTAAAAGTTTTCCCACAGTAATTACACTCATAAGGTTTCTCTCCAGTATGAATTCTCTGATGTCCAAGAAGTTGTATGCTCTGAGGGAAGGCCTTCCCACATTCGTGACACTCATAAGGTTTCTCCCCATTATGTGTTCTCAGATGTAGAGTAAGATGTGTGCCTCGGACGAAGGCCTTCCCACATTCATTACATTCATAAGGTTTCTCTCCAGTATGCGTTCTCTGATGTTCAATAAGATGTGACCTCCGGCTGAAGGCCTTCCAACACTCATTACATCCATAAGGTTTCTCTCCCGAATGACTTCTCTCATGTCGAGCAAGATGTGCGCTCTGGCCAAAGGTCTTCCCACATTCATTACATTTATACATTTCTTTTCTAGTATGAGTTTTCTGATGTGCAAGAAGTTGTATGGTCTGGGGAAAGGCCTTTCCCCATTTATCAGACTTACGAAGTTTCTTTACAGGATGAGTTCTCTGATATGAAATAATGGATGAACTGTGGCATAGGGTGCTCCCACAGTCACTATATTCACGAAGTTTCTCTTCAGCACAAATTCTATGATATTCAATAATGTCAGAATCACAACTGAAGGATTTCTCATAGTCACGGTACTTAGAAAACGTCTTCTTTGAGCAGTTTCTGTTGCAGGTGCTTAGGTCTGCATTTAGCCTGAAGAGATTTCTGTGTCTATCACATTTATGAAGACTCTTTGCTATCTGTTCTCCCAGGTGTGGAGAAGGGACTGGCCTGAAGTTTTGGCCACATTCATCACATTCATGGCCTCTGACGGTATTCAAAGAATTCCTCTGGGTGATCTTTACTTGCTGAGAACGTTTCTCCTCATTACTTTGCTGCCTCTCTAACGCGGCATCACATTCACAGGCTTCTCCCACCGTGGCGACACAGGCACCATCCCTTGGGAGTCTTTCTTCAGACGACATACCCATGGAAATGTGCAGCTTTGGACTTTCAGGCCTAGTCTCCCAGCCTGAGGGAAAAAAAAAAAAGTAAACATCTGCTCTGTCCAATGTAATACTTTCAGTCTTATCTTTCATGTCCTCGTATCCTCCCTTCCCCACTGCCCCTCAAAAAATAATGGTCAAACTTTAAAGGGTAAAACAAATAATTTACAATGAAAAAAAAAAGTTTTCATAATGGCCTCACAGCAACCCGGTGAGATATATAGGTCGTTCTTCAAGTTTCTAAATAAGTAACAAAGATCTAGAGTGATTCAGTGGCTTCCTCAAAGTGTCATAACTAATTAGCAAGAGAACAGCAGAAGCAGGACTCAATGGTGTAAGCTCTCTGCACATGGAAATATTTAATCAGGGCCTGCATGATCACCCATGCGGAACAGCAGAAAGAGGACTCTCGCATGGGGCAGAGGCGGACTCAACTGCTCCTCAGTTTCCACAAATTCTAAGATTCTGACTCCTCATTGATCCCAGACGAGCCGCTGGGGCGTAAGAAAGCAGTGATCAGAAGGGCCATGGCTCCGATTGGCGCTGAGTCTTTTCCACACTGCCCTTGGCCCTGCCTCCTCCAGGATCTCTGAGCTGCTCTCTCTCTACACTCGGAAGGGACCAGCTTCAAGTGCCAGTCATCTATGACACGTCCAGGCACAATTAGAGAGAGCTAATATATTACTGAAAGGCACAGATTACGGGTTACATTACTCTTCGACGCTGTAATGAAAGAATGAGCCTTGGGATGATAAAGCCAGACTTTAGTACAAACAGTTGTCACCTGCATGAAAAAAGCAACCTCCTCCCCTAAAAAAGTACACGGCATTGACATACGGCCTTTCAGACTGGTGTCAAAGTAGGAAGGAGGGGGATCGATGGAAAGAACCAGGAAAACCCATCTAGGAAGGAGGGAAGAAAGAAAACGTTACGGAAGAACGCGCTAAGGGGAAGGAACGGCAGAGAGGGAAAACAACAGACAGCGGAGGAGGAGCGGGAACCCTGGTCTGCGAGAGGCGCCAAGAACCTCATTATCCCGCCACTGGAATCCGGCAGCAGCGACCTCCTCAGTCTGCCAATCTGTTCTCCCCCACTCACCCGTCACATGGCTGTGAAAGCTTCCCAGACGACCCTCTGACCACTCGGCTTAATGCGAGATCTCACCCAGTGTCCCCTTCTCTTCATTCCTCAAGGGCTTCCTATCTCAACCACTCATTCTAACAGAAGATCAGGATGTTCATTATTACTGGCAGTTTTTAAGCCTCATCCTTTTTATCAGGAGGGTAAAATCCTGGAGGGCTGCGAACTAATCTCCTATTCTTACAGCTCCCATAAGGGCCTAGAAACATTTTACATAGCTAGCTGGCAATTAATCAATGCAAATGCGTTGGAATAGTAACTGTTTGAAAGACTTAAGAGATACTGGAACAGGAGTTCATGAAGGAGCTGAGCTCTATAACTAAGATGTTGGCAACAGAAAAACTGCAAAGAATGCCAAGTACCAGCAAGATTCATCAGAAAATGTAAAAGTCTCTCCAAGAAGAAGCAGTTCAATACTCTCATGCCCAATGACCATCTAGATCAGGCCTAAGCTCACTCCCATTTTCAGAGCTCCACCCCCTTCCAGCCATCTCTCTGCAGCCTCTTCCCACATCTTACTTCGTACTTATCTGGCATATGTTGTATGTCTGCTCCTATCTACAAGTGTCAATGTCTCCAGGACCTTATATGACACACAGGCCTCTCTGCTGGGTCCCTAAAAAAAAGGGCCCAACTTCAAAGGGCAGAATCCGTCAGAATACTCCATTAGGTGTATATGGTCACTTGTCGTTGGTAATAAGATATCCACAGTGGTCATTCAAGAAGCAGAGAGGTAGGCAAGTCAATTATTAGGTTTTCTAAAAAGGCAGATTGAAACTCACATGACTTACTAACTTTCCCAATGTACTGTAACTAATCTAGAAGAAGAAGTGGGACGCAGACCTACGTCTCCTAACAACCATCCCAGGGTTCTTTTCATTGTGCAACGTTTGCTCCCCTCAACGTAAAGTAAACGGGACATTTTTGTTATTATTTTTCTAAAGATAAA